GGAATAACTAATTTTAATATTAAAAATATATATTTCATCGTTACGTTTCTTTCTTATTTCTTGCCATTGAAAATATTACAATATCTCGTTATGAAACTGACATCAATGTCTACCTTTATCATTGAAATAAAATGTAGCAGAGGCGTTTACTGATTTACCGTTTCAATCTTATTATTGCAAACGGGCTCCGAATTCAGCTTGTTATATACAAAACGATCGAATCCTCGTAGATAGCTGCGTTGTTGGAAGTATCACAGAATTGACACATCAGTACGTGACCGGTCCGCTGCCTCGGGTACTGATGTCAACGTTTTGTACTTGATTTGCCGGAAGGTACCTGCTCCTTTTTAAATTTTCGTCATTTCTCTTGGCCCAGCTTGCATTTTTTATCTTTGTCAATAATTCTGTTGTCTTAGCAACCTATCTCGCAAAATACCGTAAACTACAAAACAAATTATTTTAATTTCTTTAACTAATTAAAAAAAAGTCAAGGTCAACTTTTGGACAGTAAGTTAACAAGATCAGCAAAGTTTTTTTTAGATTATAGAGGAACAAATATACACATTCTAACATTTCAGATATTAGTTTGAATGTTGTGAGACTAATGGGGAACTGTTAGTCGGCAAAAAAGAATACATGAACAATAGCGGCATTTCATACTGTCTATTCTGTTATTTCGTGGTCAAATTACGAAAACGCATGTAGACAAAACGAATGTTAAAAATGGCGTCTAAAATTGCTTTTAAAGTGATTTCTTTTAATTTTTCATAAACAAGCATCGTGGTCGTGGTTTCAAATCCCACTGTTATCATATTTTTTATTTCTTATGATTTATATACTGTGTAAACTCTATATGGCAACACAAAGGATTGTGCATTTCATGATGCTTTGGAAAGAAACAAACAAAAAACTGAATTAAAAAGTAAACATTTATTTCAAAATAGCGATATATTTACCTTTGAACGCTATTGCGGCACCAGTAATTTCGTGTATTGTTTTTCTTTATTTCATTTTTATCTTGTGCGATTGAGACATCATGGTTTTCAAATAATTTTGCTGCTACCAGAGCCTTTTGAAGGCTCGACGTAGGCTTAAAAAAACGTCCTTATTAGCAGCTGAAAGGTACTTCTGTTACTCACATGTTGTCATTACTGAGAGTGGGTGTGATGCTATATATAATGTATCAATGTATGTTAGACAAGCCAAAATAAACAGTCAATCAATTTTAACGCTTTAGATTTTTTTTTAATCGAGTGACGTTACATGGAGTTTACATTATATTTTTTATTCTCTCGTATTTTAACATGTGTAAAAAATAATGTTTCAGCAATATTGATTGTAGCCTTGCATATGCCCAGAACAAAGGACACAAAATCCCATTGGTCACGGTCGCCGAGTTGAAAAGCTCACAATATTTTATTCTCCACTTCTCTATGAACATTCTGACCACTTACGCCAACCCTATTTACATGAACGCTTTAAAAGCAATATTATTTGACTTCAAACGACAGTTTTAATACTGCGAAAACTGGGTGGGGCTTTTTTACGGGTTTTATCTATGTAAAATGGAATAGTAAATTAGAGTTATCAGTTTTGTGAATGAAACGCGATTTATACATTATCGGTTTAATATTTATGTACGTATATTTCGTTTTTAGCCACGTTGAATTTGGGTTTTGAGCCCAATTTGTGACAGAATATAACAAATAAGCAAGATATTTATAAATGAAAAGTGATCTGTAATATCAATGTAAGAACTTAGACTGAAACTTTAATTTACACTTTACGACATTATTATCACAGTTATATATTTAACATGTTAAATGTTTAAAAAAAAAAAAATTATTAAAATGACCAGATTTGCGAGACATTATGAAATATAATTTAATAAAACACTTTAACGGTTTAAAACGCGATATGTTTTAGTTAAACTTATTTGAAATATTTTAACTACGTCTCGTAAACGTCGGGCCGTAGTAAATAATTTTAAAATAAATTTAACTAATATACATCGCGTTTAAAACCGTACAGACGTATTTTTTATATGTATACTAATCTGTATAATCATTATTTTTATAAATTTAATATTTACTACCTTTGGTTAAACCACTTGCAAGTTTTAATTTAAACTAGGTTCAATCTCTATAAAGACTAATTCATATTATATCTAATGTAATAGCTACACATAAGCGCATTCTAAGAATGAATAACTTCGATTAAGCACAAATTTTCCCGCACATTAGATTTTAGCTCACTGGAAATAAAACTCTATCAAGTTGAAAATTGTTCACAATTTATCGTCGGACTAAAAGGTCGTGTCATTTTTCACACGCTTCTATAAATGACCGCTTAGATAAACCATCATATTTTAAACCCTCGCCTATCTTAACTTTGCGCTAGATAAGGCCAGGACATGTGACAAATAAATTATTTAATACAATTTTATTACACCGATTAGATCTGAACCTAAAATTTGAATTATATCTTGTGAAAATTAATTTGGGTTTATCCACGAGACAAAAGGCAATATAAATGTATGCTATCACCACGCCATTCCCTTGAAGAGCTCCTTGGTCTAATAGTAATGTATGGGTAATGATAACGAAGGAGCGCGGGTTCTATCCCGACCGTTTTTAAATGTTTATAAATATTGGAAATCTGAATATTAAATGGGTCTAAACGATCGCGTTTCGGTTTCAATCTGACGATTTCCGAATATCCAAAGCCTAAAAAGGTCGACAGCGTATCGGATCGATGTAAATAGCTAGGATACTTCACTCTTCATCGAGTGAACCGTAGTAAAAGGTTTCGGAAAATACGTTGATGATGTGTTGATAATTATATAAATATAGTTAATAAGGTTAATTGAGTTCATCGTATAAATAAAACGTCGGTCCAACGGGACAGCTTTGAACATTAAGTGCAAAATGCAGCAAATTTCAGCTTCCAGTAAACAGCGTATAGTTATTCAAAATAAACGGCTGAAATTTTAGCTCGGAGACGTTGGTGGAATGGTGAAGCTGTCTGTTTGCATTAGACGGACGGGAAACAGAACTTGCGGAACAGTTATTTTAGCTATTAGTATAATTTATATGTATTTATTTAGAATGTTTGGCATGCAAATAAATAGTATATTTCCAAGGAACCATACACACTACACTATAGAATTGATTATGTTTTATTGTTAATAATTAACAAATAGTTAAATACTAGTGAACACTCAATAATATTAAATAATAAAGTAAGCAATTTTACGGTAAAGCACGAAGTTAAATTTTTATTATATTTTGCGTTTCAAACCGTTAAAAGTGTTTTATTTATATACTACTCGAGTAAAATAGAGACAATATTAAATTATATTGATTTTTATTATTGTCACGTCAAAAAGACAAAATGGTTACACTGTGGTTTTATTTTTTGATTGTCTTTAAAAAAGTTACAAAACCTTATAAGGCTTTAAGAATTTTCTAAATAGATAGTTAACTAAACATGAATCACCAATGCAGGATGACGGTGTCAAAACACCACGAAAACTTACAGAGAGCTGGTAAAGTTTGGTCAATACTTTTAACGTTTAAAACACAAAGTTTTAACAAGATTTTGAAGTTATGTTTGAACTAACCCACTAAGAAATAACTTATTTAAACTTAGAACAGTCGGAGATACTAAGTTAGGATAGTTCCAAAATGCAATAAGTATGTTAAAATTTAGGTTGTTGTTATATGCATAGAACGATATGAAAAATTATATTTCATAAATATATAAGACAAATCGTCTAACGAACAAACTAAATAATAAAGGAAATGAAATACAAACGAGACATATTATTATATCCATTTTGTTTTATTTCTTCTGTGTTTCGAAGACACGCATTCTTATGTATTCTTATATACAACCCAATTTTTCTTATCCCTGTTAAAGTCTATTTCTGTCAACAGATAACAAATAGGTAACCCGTAAGGATGCCCTAGAATAGAAGTTTGTGGGATATTTATTAGCGCTAGAGCATTGTCGTGACAAATGGTCGCGGCCAAGCCTACCTGACGGTGGAATTTCATTTAAAGAAGCCACGTAACGTTGGCTAATTTTGCAGCAACATGAATCAAGTTTATGCGACGCCAACATTTTTTCACGTTCAACCGTACCATAAAAGTGATTTATTTGTTCATACTTCGCGTATAACAAGCAATTCGAATTCATAAGTGTCATTGATGTATAGTTTAGAAGTAGTAAGTAGTAGTAGAAGTTAGGGAATATCGAATATAAATTTCGATGAGTGCACACAACGTTTATTCATAGAGCTGTAACTTAACAGACCAGTTCGCCCGTATTGTCAATATTTATTATAAAATAGGTATGTTACCTACCTATTGTTTACCTAGTTACCTAAGAGAAGAAAAGATGTTGATTCGAAAACAACACAAGGCATTTGACAAACATAATCTAAGAAGAAATACAAATAAAATATTAATTGACTAAGTACCTACATATAAAATAATTGATAATAATACTTGCCCCCGAAAAGAAGTCGCACTCCGCTAGCGGTATCTATTAATTACCCTACTTTTTTCTGTAGGAAAATATCGAGCTTGTCGTCTTTTTTATTCAAACAAAGAGAGACACACATGTGGTTTCTTTGATATAGATGGAAGGTGGAAAGATGAATGATGATTAACAATCCGAAGTCGGGAAACAGGAACCGAAACGCGATTAAACGAAGCAGTTTTTTAATCTGTGGTAGTTTGACCCAGACCTAATTTCTAAATACTACTAAATCAATATATACTGTCTATAGTTTACGCGAGTAGTACACATTTAAATAAAACACTTTAACGGTTTCAAAACGCGATATATTCGTTTGCAGCAGCCGAAACGTCGGGCCGTTAAAAATCATTTTCAAATAAGTTTAAATAACTATCGCGTTTTAAACCGTTAAAGTGTTTTATTTAAATCAACATATTAAAAAAGTCACTTTTGTCCGCAATACATTGCAACCAATAATGGTTGGTAAATACCAACCGTCTGTTTAAATAGCGATATGTAATGTTAAATTTTCTTTTCAGGAACAATCTCACAAATCGTACCGTCCGCTGACAGTACTCACGTTCAGATGGAACTACGCAATTCACGGCTTGCAGCCCGCGGGCTACCACCTCGTCAACTTATTGCTGCACGCTCTGGTCTCGCTGCTTTACTACAGGTATGCTCACATAATCAGAAGTAACAAAAAAAAGTACAAAAATAAAAACTCCTAAGAATAGCAAGAGATATGTAATTTATTATTTAAAATCATTCGGAATGTTTTATTTATTTCAAATTACGTTTGAGATGAAAAAATTTAAATAAAAAAAAATTACCTTATTAACTTTTGAATTAATGATTGTCGAATTAACAAAAAACATCATGTATTTTATATAGAAGAGTTATGATGATTATAATTTTAAGTTTATTTAAATTATGAAACTCTATATTGTACGTGTAATCAAATTTAAGATGTCAACTAATGAGAAATTGTATCAAAGTCTGACTGTGTGGCGTAAATTGTCAAAACGGTGATTGACTACCAACCGTACGAAATATAAAATATTCTTTTACTAAAGTTAAAAGTAGCTCTATTGACTAGTATACATACATAACAGTATAGAATAAAGCGAAGGCCACAAACACGGGGGCTATTGACTAACGATAGCCACTAAGAGTTTTTAACAACAGTGATTATACAGACCAAGAATATCATAGCTGGACGCCACTGAAGGCAAACATTGGAAGCCGTGAACCCTTGAAATCGGGAAATTAATAACTATTTAATGGAAATTTCGCCAAGCGTCCAAGTTGTTCGATAGATGCCTCTCATATTTGCGTAAGTTGAAATTAATTAAAATTAAGGCTCGATCACAGCTGCGTCGTTAACCCTTAATTGTTAATGGATTCTGTGAAATTTTAATTGACGAGAGTCAATACAGCTCTTTATTTATATCCACGATTATTTATATTCGTATGATATTGTATTTGTTATGTGTGTATGGTTTTTTTAATGACAGAGGAGGCCAGCAGATACCATGTAACACCTAAACAAGAAACGTTGTCGAACTTTTTTTATTTTGTTTATCTCATTATAAACATATTCTACCATTACAGAACAGTTTCCATTCCATAGACTTTCATAGAGTCATGTTTTTGTCAATTCACCCAAGCTGCACGTAAAAATGTCGATCCCCCTCTTGTAGCTTATTGATAACACGCATAGAACGGACATGAGGGAATTTTTCGACAAGTTGGTACGTGAGTACGGTAGCGCAAGTAACGGCGGTCGTAATCGCCTTCACACATATCGGTCCGAAACATACAAGTGTTAGGACAGTAGGACTCCTGGGTTCAACTCTACACCCCGCAATACTTTTACCAGATATATCCCTCCTACTCATCATTGTACCCGACCATCCTAATATAAAAAAAAATCGGATACATTAAAGGATAAAATGGATATACTCCATACATTCTTTGGTACAAATGCCTAACAAATTTGTTTTGAATGCGTTCCAATATTACTTTGTATTTTTGCTTTGAGAACCGAAACGCGATTAAACTTGACGGCTACTTCATCTGTATGGTGGACCTGGACGGAATTTCTATATTTCTTACGTTTAATTTTGATTAGTTCGAGTGTTCTTCATAGTAGTATGTCATGGGAAACTATGCGCACTCTATACTACGCGTGGGTAGTTGTGTTATATTGTGCCGTGCCGGAAGGTAGACATGTTAAGGCTACCGTTCAAGTTCTATGGAGATCCCGGGATGCTTCTTTATTATGTCAAAGATTCAACTCTGAGGTTTTAGTCCGACATAACCCATTTGCTCCTCCTGGCGTGCTTTGAGGGGCGGATTTCCCCAAGTTTTAAGTTCTTTATTTAAACTGTGCCACAGAGCAGTCATTTCTTTTATCCAATTCTTCAGTATTATGCCAACTTATGTATAAATCATGGATTTATATAGGTTTCACAAAAGTTTGCTCTGAAGATGTCTAATCTAGTCTCGCCATTAATATTGTTTCGTACTAATAAATTATATAGTTGAAAGAAATTTTGAATTTAAGTAGCTCCAAAATTAAGTACCTTTATATTTATCCGAAAAAAGTCCTAGATACTAGCGAAATTCGAATACTAAACTAAACCATTCCGTCATACTAAAGGGCAGTTAAGTGGCTTCGAACTTTTTATCTTCATAATTTTTTGATTATACTACGTACAAAATACGCAATAATATATAAGAAATGCTTCACTTCAAAATGGCTGTACAAATATTTCTAATTAGCGATTCAAATCTGAGAATTAATATATCCCATCGCATTACAAAAGTTCGAGGGATAATTACCGCACAGTGGCGTGCATAGACGTAGTTCTATTTGTTGCAAGAGCCAAAGTGCTTAAGTTAAGCCAGTTTTAATCAGGCGACCGTCCGATCCCCTTAGTTACTGCTAATTACGGCTACTTGCTGTGTCCACCACGAATTTATCCCGAGTTTATGCTCTACATCCAATTTTCCAACTTAATCCTCTTAGCGATTTTAAAGATATCGATGCTATTTCACAGTTTAATTGTCGTTTAAACCCTCTGTTTACGGCATTTAGTTTGAGAACTATAATTTTGTTTCTACTAAATAAGGATTTTAATAGGAAGGAAATAAAAATATCCTTTTAGTATTTACAGACAAAAATATAAGAAAATTTCCGCTCGTTTAAGGTTTATTTACAGTGCGGAATTTAATTATAAATACAATTCAATCAACTGTGAATTGATTTTATACACTAACAAGTTAAAACATAAAAGTTTTCATATATCGCACATTTATATAAAATAAAAATCTATTTTAGAGTAAGGAAGTCGATGACACGATAGGCCTCCAACCCATAACAGCATGCATGAAAAACAAATATCTGTCTTTTAAATTAGTAATAAACAGCAAACATATATCACTTGGGTAAATTATATATATATATGTTGCGATAGTTTAATTATATATTTGTTTTATTATTTATTTTATCTGTCTCTCATAATAAAAAATCTTTGTTAATAAATTACTGATACAGAATAGAGTAACCACAGCTAATTTAGTTACATAGATACAAAAGACAACTATTCCAGCAGGAAATGTAAACAATGAAGAACACCATTCCGAGTTAGATATGCAAAATTGTGCGGTCAGCGGCTAACCGTCTCGTATTTTAAGTGTAACTGCTTTTTATATGAGTTTCACAATATGGTGGTTCGGATATTTACAAAATGATTAATGCAACATACATAGAGCTTATAATTCTGTACAATACATTACATTAACTTACAGACTTTGCATAGCATACATACATATTGAAATTAGACTTTTGAAAATATTAACATTTTCACGTTTAGTATATTAATTAATAGCACATGATGTAAATTAAATTCGACTAGAGCAATAGTAGTGAAAAAAACAGCGGGAAATGTTTAGAAAAAGGGGAAAATTGATAATCTCTGCGGGTTGCCGATGCGCACGTTTCGAAACCGGTTCAAAATACCCAAAAAATATCAAAAAAAACCCTCCCCCCCCCCCCCCGGGGCCCCCCCCCGGTTTTTTTTTGGGGGGGGGGCCCCCCCCGGGGGGGGGGGGCCCCCGGGGGGGGGGGGCCCCCCCCCGGGGGGGGGGGGGGGGGGGGGGGGGGGGGGGGGGTAATTGAATGATTCCTTTTTCAATGATCTAAAAAAAAGTCCGCGACGATATATATCTATCTTTTAAGACTAACTTGCAAGAACTTATAGCTTAAATTAACAAAGATGAAAAGGAGGTTGCAAATTTGGATGTCCAAAATTACTATTCTACGTCGACGAAGTCGCTAACACAGCTAGTCGTTTTATACAATGATTTAACTAAATAACACTCAAACAATCCAATATTCGCCAGGTAAAAAGCTTCCATTAATAAAAGTTAAATGTTCACATCACACATCATCCGTAACTTTTCCTTACACATTATTTGTATCAGACATTGCCAACTTCAAAGTTATAATGGAATTACTTTTAAATTCATGAATGGTTGCCGCCTGCATACGGAAGCCCTCGTTTACAAAATAAGCGCTATTAAGGACAGAATGGAAGCATGTTGCTACTTGAATAGACCCGTTTCTTATAAAAAATTGGTTTAAACTTCGTCAAATATTATCTTATTTATAGCGTTTAGCTAAACCTTTAATTTTTGTTTACTATGTAGTAACTATACTAATATATAAACCTGAAGAGTTTGTTTGTCTGAACGCGCTAATCTCAGGAACTACTCATTCGAATTAAAAAAATACTTTTTTGTCGAGAATGTAACTTGGCTGTAAAACATCGCGCTGCGACTAACAAGAGTGGAGAATCAGCGGGAAATGTGGAAAGAACGGGGAAAATTATTCATTTATATGGGCTTTCGTTACGTGCGCAGTGGTTTAAGATACCTAAAAACAACGTATGAAAAAATGATTCCTCTTTAAACGATCCTTAAAAAAATGTCCGCGACCTATTATGTCTATCTTTTAAGATTATCTAGAAGAGCGACGGGACGTGACAGACGTTGTGACGACGGACAAAGTCGCTGATACAGCTAGTTATAGTATAGTATAAGTTATAGGTGCTTTTTATTATAAAAAGTATCCCTTATTTACTTAATTTAACTGTCTCTTTTAAACTTACTGCCCATGATTGTAACAAGCGCGAGGCGTTAGGGTCCGAGTATTGACCTTATCTGATAACGGCATATACATTTCATGTTTGAAACAGTTAACTGTGTTTTATATAAATGCGTACTACTCGTGTAAACAACAGACTGTTTAACTATTTCTCTGTAAACATAATCGAATGACACTGTTATTTTTCAGCCTTATGTCACACACTAGATTTTTATAAAAGGGTAATTAACTTTTAATCTATCATCGCTATAACGCTAAAGACGACAAAGTAATGCCATAAAGGCATATTATTATAATTTCTAAAATATGGTGCAAATTTAAGCTCCTCTTGTGTTAAGCAAATATTTAACAACAATAGACTCCAAATTAAGAGCTAAACTTGAAAGGATTCTTGATTTCCATTCAAATTCTTAACTAAAGAAAGCGAAATGAAAAGAACAACTCGGCAAAGTGAATTATACAAAAATTATCTTTTAAAAAATCACGGAGAAACTCCCATCCAG